TGTCCTAGGACCAGCGTGCGGCTGCCTGCAACCCCCCTGCCCGCGCGGGCGCCCGAACCTCCAAGGGCGCCCCCTGGCCGAGGGGGGGGGCGGCGGCCGTTCCTGCCCCCTCCGCGACGCGTCACGTGGCCTTCCCTCCCTCCGCCCCGCCGGGCCAACCTCCGCAGCCGCCGCTGCCGGAGAAGCAGAAGTGGAGCCCGGCGGCGGCGAGGAGCAGCGACCCGACCCAGCGGGTGGAGAGCCGGTGCCTCCGGGGAGGAGGGGGAGGCCAGTTCGCCGCCCCGCCGCGCATCCCAGCGCGCTCCGTCTGCAGGAACCGCCGCCCCGGGCAGGAGCGCAGGTGAGGAGAGGTCCCGACCCGCCGAGACAGCCGCCGGGGAAGGGCGCAGGGAAGAAAGAGCTGCTGGACTCGCTTTCTAGATCTGCCCCTTCGGGGGGTCTTCGCCGCCCCCTCTGACCCGGGAATCTTATTTTGGGGAGGGGTCTCCCCGCCTATATTGGGGGTCCAAGAGACCCCGGACGAGCCTCTTTTCTTGGGGCGGGGGCAGCCCGCCCGGTGGGCAGGAAAGTCGCCTCTGCGGTGCCCGGGGAGAAGAAGCCCCTCGCCCCATTTCAGAAGGTAGAGGTGGGGGGGGACACAGGGGTCCTTTCTGGGTGGCCGTTGCGCTTTTGGGGTCCCCACGACTCTCACCAGCATTGTTTCTGCAGAGAAAACGCACTCATTTCCGGGGTTTGACGACAGTCGTGGGAGCGGGCTGGGGAAAGGAGGTTTGGGTTTGTTGGGTGAGGTGCGTCGTGCGAAGGCAACCTGGGGCTGTGGGTGGCAATAACCTTGGCTCCGTTTGGGTTGGAAGCCTCTGGACCCAAATAGGGGAATGTTGCACGTGGAGACTCTAGAAAGAGTGCAGAGAAGAGCAACCAAGATGATTAGTGGACTGGGGGCTAAAACATATGAAGAATAGTTGCAGGAACTGGGGATGTCTAGTTGAATGAAAAGAAGGACTAGGGGAGACATGATAGCAGTGCTCCAATATCTCAGGGGTTGCCACAAAGAAGAGGGAGTCAA